TTTACTTGTTCTTGCCTAAGTGGAGCGCTCGCGGGAGTAGCATGCCTGTCACGGTCACGCAGTGAAGTTTTACGGTGCGTAATTGTAATTACAGCTGTCAGTTGCCGTAGTGACTTCATTGCTTTTAGGACAGGAAGAAATTGTGCAAGAAGGACAGGAAGAGGCTGTGCGGGAAAGACAAGAAGAAATTGTGCAGGAAAGACAGGAAGCAATTGTGCGAGAATCGACTTTCATCGAGCTGCAACCGGAACCGCGAGAAGTCGTGATGCTTCACTCAGATGCAGGGTCTATCCGTGATATTCGTGGGGAACTGCATGCGCTTCGTGACATGTAGCAAAGGTCACTTTACTTAGCAATATCTTATTCGTTAATGTAGATATTCTTTTTCAAAGCTATACCGTGGTGATCCATGAAAAAGTAAATGCTCTGGTTAGGCAAGAAGATGAGGACGCCTTAGACACTCTAACAGCTCTCGCTGAAAGATTGCGAGTGATTGCCGGCGACATAGATGTTCCCCTTGAAGCTGCTGGTATTATTTCTAGACCTGACGTACCTACCCACGGGCGACCGAAAATGCGAAAATCCGAGCTTTATTCGGTACGCTGTGTAGATTAAATGGATATGTTAATATGAGCGGCTTAAATACTTCACATTACATGATTACAGAGAGCTCGGATTCGAAAAGAAATGCGGAGGAGAACGCAACTTGAAGGATGATCAAAACGAAGAATAAAACTAGCAAACTCACCATAAAGACGGTCTGGACAACCAACGCTAGCAAAGTTGTAAAAAGATAACGAAAAGCGAACCTATTCATATGAGATCCCGTGCAAATCACTACGACATTGAATAAAAGTAAGCGTCGAGTTACGGAAAATGCGGTTACAGGGCTGTTGTCAACCAGAATTTCTCTCGCTGATAGAATCAGACGGCGAAGCAGTCTCTGCGTGTCGTGTCCACCAGGGGGGAGGGCGTGTCTGCTCGTTGTCCGTACTCTCCTACAGAGCGCTCTCTCGTCAAGAGTAGACACTCGAATTGTTCCAAGAGTCGAAAAATTTTCAGAAAGACAGCCTTCTTCCAACTAAGGGAACTTCGTACTTAGTTCAGGTAGTCTGAGAGAAGCAAAGGCTTAATCTTTGTCTAAATATTAATAAAACGCCTGCATAGAACATCTACACCGCGGAGAATCCTTGTGGCTTGTAGAAAACCCTAGTTTGCAATCTATTTACTAGTTTGTTTTTATGGGAATCAGCGCTGAGATCAACAATATCGTTTGAAGAACTGCAACCCTGTTCGCTAGGTATCCTATTGTATCACTGGTAATAGAAGGCATTGGGGAATAGCCAGCTCTTCCGTCTGCCCTCTATCTTCTTCGCGGGTAACGGAACTTCTCCCCTATCGCGGCATTCTCCCTTGCGGTATGCGGCAAATGTCACTGCAATTACCGTACTCAACCCGCCTCTCGCCAATCGATAGGAAGCGATATTTTTCGTTGATTGGCTTGCTTTTTCATTGGATTGGATCGTTTTTTCTTCTGTTTCTTTTTAGTTTTCATGTTTATTAGACTTGATTAATTAAAATGACTCCTCCTATATAAACGACAATCAAGACCGCATTGGAATTGAAAAGAGCGGCCAGCCAATTCAAATAATCAAAGGACTCTCTACCTCACAAATCGCGTGCTCCAATCTTCCATCGCAATCCTGCGATAGGCGGCGGGTGCGGCGTGTGCGACGCCGTGTTAGGGGAGAAGTTCCCGGGGGAGGCGGTCGTTTGGCGCGGCCCCTCGCACCCACCTTGCCATTGGGGCGCATGGGCACGTTAATTGCCTTTTTGGCGCCGCCCATTCGACTCGGTTTGTGAAGACTGTTACCGGTGTGGAGGTGAATAGCACCGTGCTCTTCTAGCTAATTGGTCTAATAGGCTAATAGGTTGTAGTAAATTGGCTCGCGACAGGGATTCTTGTGAGAATCCAAAAGAGAGAGGTTCTTGTTACTAATCACACAATACTACACATGTGCTGGAGTTGCAATTGCATCAAAGTGGAGGATACGGAATTTCACCGAGAACTTTGCCAGAGGTAAAACCAGCACTAGCTCAGCGATAACACAAAGAGTCATTACGAATCTGAACGGTATGCAATTCAAAGGCATCCTTTCTCTGCGTGCGTGACAGCAAAAGGTAAGAGTGCAGGCAAAAATACCCTGGGTGAAGACCACGGTAGGCGGTAGGGAAGGGAGGGGGGGGGGGGGGGGGGGGGGGTCCCCTTAGTCAGACAANGGGGGGGGGGGGGGGGGGGGGGGGGGGGGGGGGGGGGGGGTCCCCTTAGTCAGACAAGCACAGAGTTTAAACATTGGATCAAACGGGAGTGCGACAGACGAGAGCAGAAAAGTAGGCGCGGTCACTCCAATTAAAGGGATCGAGTTCAAGTAGTTCGTAGCCCCAAGCACGGTATCCTGGCACAGCGTATCTACGATGAGGCGGTGTGGTCTATTTCCACTCGCGGGGTTACAAGACCTCTGTCAACCAAATTTTCTCTCACTAAGGGATCCAACGAAGGAGCACAGTCTCTGTGTGGCTGCATTTATAGACCACGATTTAGCCCGCGAGCGAGCGACCGACCGACCGACTGAGCGATTGGGGCGGCACTTGTCCCTTGTTTACAACTGAATCCTGGTCGATACTTGGCAGAGATGCGCTCGCTCGCTCCCTCGATCGATCGTGGGCCAAATCGTGGACTATGAAAGCAGCCTGTGTCGTGTCTGCCAGCGGAAGGAGGGAGGTTCCGCTCGTCGTCTGTAGTCTCGTTCTGAACACTCTTCAGGAATGGATATGTGAACGGGTACACGAGGGACCATGGAAAGGAGGACCATCTGAATACTCGGATATAGAGGAGAGGGAAATGAGGGATAAGTGTGATGTGTAGCTCACCAAGGAGTGTTACTGGCTGGACCGTTTAACCCTGAAAGATGTGAAGGCCTTATTTTCGTTGCAGCGCCTACAAAACATCTGCATAGGATTTTGACATTGCAAAGTAATTGTGCCATTACAGGAAATCTAAGCTTTTCAGAATTTTTTACTTATTCTTTATTTTAGTAAACCCTAAGAACAACAACATCATTTGAAGGTTTGCAGCAACAATGAATCAATCTTGAACCAACCAGCCTATCCCCTGCACCCCCTGCAAGTCAGGCGCCTATTGAAGCGATAGCAGAGAAAACGACAAAAAGGCTGCTTTCATTGTCCGCCACCCGGCTCGCGAGCGTGCCCGCCGGGGAACTACTCGGCCGATGGTATCGACCAAGATTCAGTCGTAAACAAGGGGCAAGCGGAAGAGATGCAGGCTGCAAGATGGAAAAACTAATGGCGGGTAGAAGGAGTGAGCTCCGATCACTGGAGGCGGGGCTCCTCGAAAATAGTAAGTTTGGATGTGGAGCGTTGGAATTTGGCAGAGATACAGGTGGCAAGATGGAGAAACTAATGGCAGGTGGTAGGTGCAGGCTCGGCCCACTGAGGGCGGGGCTTCTGCACAAATATTGATTTGGACATTCCAGGTCTAAATTTACTTTTTGGACCTGGAATGTCCAAATTTGCAGAGATACAGGCTGCAACATGGAAAAACTAATGGCAAGTGGAAGGTGTGAGCTCCGTCCACTGGAGGCGGGTATTACTCAAGAAAATTG